GCCGCTGTCATTCCCAGTTAGCTGTGGCTAGCTGAAGCTAGCTACGGCTAGCTAGCTACGGCTAGCTAGCTACGGCTAGCTAGCTACGGCTAGCTAGCAATGGCTAGCTACGCCTAGCATTCGTGCATAGTTCCAGCTAGCTAGCTACCGCTAGCCACAGCTAGCTGCAGGGAGGGCCTCGGCGAAGTCGAGCTAGCTGCTACTAGGGACAGCTAGCTGCTGCAGCTAGCCGTAGTAGCTAGCTGTTGCACCTAGGTGTAAGACCCAGCTGTTGCAGCTAGCTGCAGCAGCAACAGTAGCTAGCTGCAGCAGCTACACCTGTAGGTAGCTCCACCAGCCCGCCGTGGTAGCTAGCTGCTGCAGTTTGCCGCAGCTAGCTGCAGCAGCTAGCCACAGCGGCTGTGTGTAGTAGCTATCTGGGGTGCGTTCTCTTACGGGGTATTATGTGGGTGTGCTGCAGCTAGCTGTGGCTAGCTGCAGCTAGCCACAGCTAGCTGCACCTAGCTAGTAGTTACTGTAAATATTTGTACTAGCTAGCCACAGCTAGCTGCGTTCTCGTTGTGGGGTGCATCGGCAGCAGCAGAAAGCTCTGGGGGTTTGTTGGGGGGGCCGACGATGGGGTGTACGTACACCTCCAAACCCTAAACCCTAAACCCTAAACCCTAAACCCTAAATATGAAAAAGAAAAAGAGGGTTTAGGGTTTGCCACATATATAAAAATTTAAAAAGACGGGATACAGCTGAAGACACAGGGGGCCCCTGCGGCCGCTTAGCATACTGCATGCAGGTCACTAGGGTTTAGGGTTTAGGGTTTAGGGTTTAGGGTTTAGGGTTTAGGGTTTAAGTTGAACTTGAAATTCTGATTTTGTCCACAGGAACATTCAGTTTGCTGCTGTCTGAGGGGGCCGGTGGTTGTAGCAGTAGCAGCAGCAGCAGCAGCAGCAACAGCAGCAGCAGCAGCAGCAACAGCAGCAGCAGCAAGCTGTAACTTTCTTCTCCCTGAGCAACACGCTGGTTACCTCTCAACGGTGGGCATGATACTGTGGCTACAGGGAGGGAAAGAAAGAGGTTTAGGGTTTAGGGTTTAGGGTTTAGGGTTTAGGGTTTAGGGTTTGACTCGCCTCGCAGGCGTTTCGTGGTTCTTCAGGGAGCATCACATCCTGTTGCTGTTGCTGCTGCTGCTGCTGCTGCTGCTGCTGCAGCTTCACCTACTGTTGCTGCTGCTGTTGCAGCAGCAGCTGCTGCTGTTAGTGCTGAAGCTGCTCCTGTTGTTGCTGCTGCAACTAGTATTGGTGTAGCTGCTGCTACTGCTGCTGCTGCTACTACTGCTGCAGCTGCCGCTACTGTTGCTGCTGCTGCTGCTGCTGCTGCTGCTGCTGCTGCTGCTGCAGGGCTTGAAGATGGCTGTCGGTGGTCCTTCATCTGATGCCCCTCTAACAGAAGAAAGCGGCCAGGTGTGCATGCTGCTAGGGTTTAGGGTTTAGGGTTTAGGGTTTAGGGTTCAGTGTTCAGGTTGAGCCCCTAGGGTTTAGGGTTTAGGGTTTAGGGTTTAGGGTTCAGTGTTCAGGTTGAGCCCCTAGGTTTTAGGGTTTAGGGTTTAGGGTTCAGTGTTCAGGTTGAGCCCCTAGGGTTGAGGGTTTAGGGTTTAGGGTTTAGGGTTTAGGGTTTAGGGTTTAGGGTTTAGGGTTTAGGGTT